TTCCTTTCCACTTTTTTACTTTGATCTTGTTAATGTAACACAGATCCGGCTTCTAGCAGGGTTTGCTTATCTAAAATACACAATTATTAAAAAATAATGCAAGAAAATTATTTTAATTCACTTTACATGTTAAAAAACTGCTTGCAAATTTTCATCATCGTAAAATTATTTATTTTATAGATGATAAGTCGTTTAAATGGGGTACAAATAGGAATTTCGTTGCTGTTGAGATAAGTCTCTTACATTTGGTACGGCAAAAAGGAAGTAAGTCTCTATAATCTCTGCTCTTACAATTTAGAGTCAAATAAATCAATGGCATCTTTCAAATATATCACTAAAACATAAATCAGTCGAATGAAATGTATTTTCTTTTTATTACATACCTAGCATAGTAATTATTGGTAATGTAATATAAATTTCTGAGCCTGGATCAATATATTTATGCTCTAGTACTGTTTTATTTAGGATGTAGTATATTCTCGTTTTTTATTTGTCCTGTTCCGTATCTATTCTTCCTTTTTCTGTAAACATACTTCCTAGCTGCGTGTTACTCTTTCTAGTGATAGATCTTTGCACTTTATTTCTTTAATATTTTTTATTTGCGATCATCACTTGTTTTAAATTCCACTCTTCCACAGTGTAAGTTTAATAATTTAAAAATAGTAAAGGCCCAAATTTGATATGAATCTTTTAAACTCCAAATTCGGAAATTAGTAAATACAATTTTTTATTATCCCCATTTGTTACGCCCTAAACAGCATCAAATTAATGCAGTATGGGCTCGCGAAACAGTTCTTCAGGTTCCCCATTAACGTTTCCACAGCCAACTATTCGAATTAGGCGGCGAAACAAAAGAAGTGCGGCCGAACAAAAGACGGTTGTCGTTTTTGTCGGCAACAGTAGCTGAAATATGCACATAATACATGTCTTTTCGGGGACCAGCGAATTTGACGACTGCCAGATAGATTAGGTCCGGTCGAATATTTTAGCGACTTTTATAATACACCGGCTTTTAAATGTTATCTCTGTGTGTGCATTTGGAAATGGAACAATTTATATTCCATAAACTTTACTGAATATTATTTACTATAAAAAAAACTTAAAAAGGAAGCTGTTACATTTTTTTTTAATGTAATAGGTCAAAATGTGTATACCTGACTTCCGCAATGCCTAAATTATCTTTCTTTCCTCGGAAATAAAAAATTAATCATCTGAGAATATATATATACATACCGTGTGTTCAAATTAAAGTGTTACAGTTAAATACCGCCGAAAATATGCATTTTAGAAAAAAAAGTTTCAGATAAAAGTTTCATAGTTTTTTGGGGGAAACATTTTGGCTAAATTAATTTTTTTATAGCTGACCATAATATGGCCATATCGAGGTGGACTTTGTTTTTTGAAATGGAATCCCATTTTTTTACATATTCTTAAAATACATAAAAAAATAAGAAACTTTTGATAAAAATATTTTTTTATTGCACTTTTACTTTTTGAGTAACAGCTACTTAAAATTTTGCTAGGCGAAAAAAAAGTTGACCATATCATTGTATAAAGAACTAAATAGTAGTCTCACCTTATGGAAGTTTCATTGGAGCGAAATGGATACTACCAATAGATGGCGCTAGTGAATATGGATAAGTCGATATTCGTTTGCAGTGGGCGGAGTTGAGGGTCCAGCAGAAATTTTTAAGAATGACTGAGACCTATCGATAAATTTCTATTTTTAGCTCTTGGATGAAATTTTATACACTCGTGATTGAATGTTTGGACTATTTTCTATCTAATGTTTGTTATTGTGCGTTAGTGCGTTTGCGGGTAGTAGGTATTGTGAATGAGTTGTGTTTATGTTTTATTACTGAATTATTTTACTGTTAATAAAGGAAGAGTTCCCAAAAAAAATTTGTGTAGGTATTTATAACTGTTTTGAAATTAATAAAATAGAAAATATGTTTTTGTTTTTCGTTTCCTTTACAGGTTTTATCCGAATTAATTTAAAATAAATTATATAATAATAATAGCAATAATAATACATTTCTTAAGTATTGAAAATTGTATTTTTAATTTAAATACCTAAGTACTTAGCATAAGTAATTATAAACAACAGGTTATTTCTTTAATCTGGTGCGTAACAATGTAATAAAAAAAAACCCTTAAGATGGTTTGTAAATAATATAAATGAATTTTTAATATTGAAGTAAACACAATGGGTTTTATAAGGATTATTGGTTGGGGTTCGGCTTTGGGGGATAGGGTCGAAATATTAAAACTAAACTTGGTATATGGATGTATTATCCCATAAAAATAAAAATCACTTTAAAAAATTCACCCCTCCCCACCCCTATCTGATATGGTGAGGGTGGCATTCCCAAAAAATTAAGTTAGAACTTTTTAAATAAAAAAGTTGAAGTCTACGATTTTTTATACATAAAAACACAAAATTCCAATTTTTTTGAAAAAAATTTCGACTTTAATCTTCATAGTTCGGATGTTGGGGCTGGCATTTAAAAATAGTTACAAATACATAAAAATCTTATTTTTGGCATATTTACAATAGAAATGATTTTCAACATTTTTGTATAAATATCTTACCACCACCATCTCCCAGAGGGAGATGGAGGGTGTGGCATCCCCAAAAAATCAAGTTAGAACTTAAAAAAAAACAGTTAAAATCTACAATTTTTTATACATATAAACCAAAATTTCAATTTTTAAATCAAATTATTAAATTAAATTATTTTTTTAATTTCTTTATTATATTTAATATTATTTCTTTTTCTAACAATAATCAATTTAAGATATCTACTTTGATTGAGCCAAAATATTTAGTAGGGGAAGTTTTTAATATTATACAAACATACTGTGTGTCCAAAAAAATATATGAATTTGGCTAAACATTAACCTTTATTTCTAAAAACAGGAGAACAATGTTACTTGAAAAATGTACCTAGAATTAATATTATCCACCATCAAATCCTGGACCTGGACACAATTTTTTTTTAGCAATACGGGAGAAACGTAAGTGACATTTTTACAAATCAAATTAATTTCAACAAATTTATTTGAGATCATGTACAAGATTATTCACTATTAAAGACACCTTTTATAACCACTATTGCATATTCAAAAAAAGCTTTAAATAAAAGTTTGTGAATATGACTGACTTTTTTTAAATATACCATAAAACACGTATTCAGATTTCACGGAATACAAGACAAATAAACTTTTTTAAATGGGATACCCTCTATGTTATTAAATTTCTGGGATATTTTTTTTCTAATTTCACAAATGTATATTATTGATAACCCTATCTTATACCGTCTGTTCTCGAGTAATTTAACGTTAATAATGTAAACATGAAAAAGTTAACATTATTAAAGTAAAAGCTATGAAAATCACAACTATTATGTTTAATAATAAAATAATCCAAATAGGTAGTTTACAGTGAGAAAGAAAAAGTGTAAATATTTATAAGATATTCGACATAGATTATCTATGATATTCGACGTTTAATTAATCAGGAAAGAATAAAGATCATTTCGAAAATTGAATAAAATATATATCTATGCTATCCTTATTAAAAAATATTCATGTTAAATCCTGTGAAATATGCACACCACTGATATGGTCATTTGATGACATTTTTACAAAATTCGGTCAATGTAAATATTATACAATAATAATTATAGCATAAAGGGAGGGTAATTTATAATGAATAACCTTGTTAGGTACCATAAATTTTTAGTAAAAAATTTTAATTCGCACTTTTTTACGTAGATTAAAGAAAAATGTAATTTTGTGCGTTTTCTTGGTGCAGACATTTTGCGACACACTGTATATTCAAATCCAAAATAATGTATTTTCTTTTAACACATACCTAATACAAATTTATTAGCAAAATTTAAATACTTGTTATTTTCGGTATATTTCTCCTTTAGACACACACATTTTTAGTTTCATTGTCAAAAGATTTAAATAAAATTACCTGACCTTATAATATTCTATTATAATTTGATTATTAACGTAAAATTAATGTTTTGAAATTAATTTAAGTTTTACCAATTTAGAAAATAAAATTAAATAATAATAAAAAAGTGTCCGCTCGGGAGTTTAAACTCGGAACCCTTTGATTCGTAGACAAGTACTCTAAATTTTCGTTATGAAGACTTATGAAAAAGTTTTACTTTTTAACGCTGATAATCAGACTGCTTTTAGTTTCATTAAAATCTCAGTTTATTTCTAAATATAGACGAATATCTTGTGGAATGCTATTATTTATTGATTCTTTACAAGAATCACTAATTTTTATTTATATTTAATCTAAATAACTAAAAAAATATATACTGACAATTAATTTTACGGAATTGTCACTTATAAAGTTCTAACATCTGACGTAGAGGGCGTATCTAACCAGTAAATAAAATCGTTAGTTCAATGATTGTACCAATAGATGGCGGGCGCGATTGCCTCCAATAACTTTTACATGGCGATTATCCTACTATAGTTCTTTATACAATGACCATATTATGGTTAGCTATAAAAAACGATTTTAGCCAAAAATTATTCCCTACAAAACTATAAAACTTTCGTCTGAAACGTTTTTTTTTTTTTATAAAAGGCGGTATATATCTGTAACACTTTAATTTGAACACCCGGTATATATAGAATATATACAGAAAAATTAAAAATGATTGAAAATCATTTATAGCAATACTTGTCGGTTATGAACCAAATGGATACAAATTGTGAAATGTAGAAAATGAAAAACTCTTTGTTGCCAAAGACCATAGATAAAGTCACTAGAAAAACTTTTAGATCCTCAGATGTTCCTATAAATATTGAAATTTCTGTAAAAATTTATAAACCTACCAATAACACAAAAACAATTATGATGAAATTATAATTATACCACAGAATGTTAAAAGAAGTGAAAGAACAAAACATCTCCCTCCAAAAACATATTGTGAAAAATATGACGACATATTGTGTGTTCTGCAACAATGCAGATTCAAGTAGGCAAAGGACCCTGGGCATCTGAAGTATCTGGAATTGTCAAGATAGATATTAAAGATGACGAAAACAAATTTGATATGTTAGTAAGGAATTGCGTTGCTCATGATGGTAAGAGAGTCCCAATACAACTTGTTGACCAATATGGTTATGTAGTTAGACCCAAAATTATGAGCAAATTCCAGAAAATTAAGAATTTTGGTCCTTCAGCTTCAGTGGTATCATTCGCGTACTTCCAAGCATTTAAATTCCCAGATTCCATGAACGTCCACTTCCAATGTGTGATACAAGTATGTAAATATAACTGCCCAGAACCCAAATGTGGTGGCCATGGTTTAGGACTAACAAGTAAGTATGGTGCTTCACCGATATCAAACGCATTAGAAAGTATAGTATGATCATCGTCTGATATATTTTTATTTTGAGATTCGGAATGTTCATTGTCTTCTGGTATGTCTATACACTATTGGGATTTCGTCTAAATTTACGATCATGGATATGTCGTCTATTTCTCTATTAGATACATTCTCATGTAGTTTAGGAAGTTTTGAAGTCTTCTAAACCACCTTCACAATAAATCATCAACAGTTTGTAAAATTATTCACCAACAGTTTTTTATTTTAATTGAAAGTTCGTAATTCGGCTAATCGGTAACACGAAAAATTGATCCGTTTGATACGACTTGATCCCGAATTATTCTACTGACTGCGCCATAAATGAAATCTTTTATTTTACTTGAATACAATCAATATAGATGTTAATCACTTGAATATTAACTAGGAACCGTCTTTTAACTGCATAAACTATATAAACAAACTATTTAAAAATGCTAACTATGCAAAATCTTATCTTCTATATATTTTTTTATACTATGGGTGATATAACATATAACGTAAGTAAATATGTAGAGAAGAAGGTAATGATGCTAAAATATAGTTCCACAGGTAATCAACTTGCCGATATGTCGATGCATTTAAAAAAAGTTTACCATCAATCAAATTTTTCGAAATAAGATTAAAATTGAATTTAGAATAAAAATTTTTTTCGTTAGAAAAAAATTAAATGTACATGTTTTAGGTACCTACCTGTGACAGTTATAATATTTCAATATTTATATTGAGTTCCCTTAATTTAATAATTTATGTATAAGAGTTCAATTTTTATATATCAAAATTATATTCCTGAAAATCAATACTTATTTATATTGCAACAAATATTGAATATTATGACTCATGAACTGATGTTACTAAAAATTTAGTCACAGGTATTACTTACAGTCTGTTCGCTATACTTACGCGGATTTCGGATTAAAAATTTTATGAGTATTTCCAGGTAAGTACCCGAAAGTTTGACCTGTTTTTTGGGGAAATATCAACTGGTTAAATGAAATGAAAAATAATGTACAACTTTTTAATTAAATAATAATGGAGAATCTTTTGTATAATTGAGAGCAGAATTAAACCTCTTCATTAATGGAGTTTAATGTGGCTATTATAAACCTAATAATAATTTTATATTACACTTCACACAGAAAATATGGTCTATGTATAATAAGAGAGTTACTTATCTCAAATAAAATATTTTCTAACATAAAAATTTGTTCCATGTAGAGAATTTCAAATGAAAAATAAAAAAATTGAACTTGCCAACAAAAATGAAAATCAGTCATTATTATCCAAAATATCATAATCGTCATCATCATCACTGTCATCACCATTAATTGTTATTATGATTGGACTTATTTCGTTTATTTTATTTTCACGAGTCCACCAATCTTCTATTAGTTTCTCACACTTAGTTATAAAGTTCCGCCACACTTCTGGAGTTGCAATTGAAAGTGCTTTTTGCCAAGTTTCCTGAACTGCGTCGTCACTATAACCATTAGGCCCAATATGGTTGTCATAATATTGTTTTGCTATTCCCTATATATATTCGATGAGATTAAACTGACTATGGTACGGTGGCAGACGTAAAACTTGATGACCGTATGTTATGTTGAGAATGGGGTGTTAATACACTGCGACCTAAAAGGTCTATTGTGCCCCCTTCTGTCGCCACTGCACTAAGGAAATGTCTCAATGCCTATAGCGACCCTTCCAATCCTATTTTCTCAAGGAAGTGTAGGATTTGAAGTGGCTTCAAGTTAGGTAAATCTCTCTCTTCTATTTGATATCCTCCTAGATATAGTGCCCTTGGATTCTGGAGTGCTACACATTCAGTTAGGATGTGAATAGAGGTTTCGTCCTCCTCCTCACAGAATTTGTACTCACTATCCTCTACTACTCTCAGTTTACTTAGGTGTCCTTTTAGTCGGCAATGCTCGGTAAGGATCCCTGTTACAATACGTAGCCTGTTCTTGCTCAGGCAGATGCAGGCTTCCGATCTTTTCTTGTTATATTCACCCAGAAGTATCTTGGCCTGTCTCAGCCCCATTAGGCCCAATATGGTTGTCATAATATTGTTTTGCTATTCCCCATATATATTCGATAGGATTAAAGTGGCAATGATACGATGACAGACGTAAAACTTGATGACCGTAATCTGATCCACAATAAAGGTTTTTGGTTTTGCGTGTATATTTGTCAAGCGTAATAATTCTGATTTTAACATATGTTGAGAAAATGGTATATGTTCCTTTGTCAACCATTCTTTAATTTTATCAACAGTCCAAGAATTCGTTGGACTTTTGTTTAATACTTCAGAATGGTAAGGTGCATTGTCTAAAATAATTACGCTGTGCTCATTTAAACCTGGGAGAAGTTTTTCATGCAACCATTTTACAAACATTTCTGTGTTCATATTATTGTGATAGTCACTGGATTTTGATTTAGATGAAAGTATTAAATCTGTTCCAGAATGAATTAATTCCTATTTTATTATTTAAATATTCGCGCTTTGTCTCAAATCGCTTACTTAAAACTTTGGCCCACACATGCGCTTCGTCTGACTGTAAGACAAGTGAAACGCCGTTGGACGAAGGGTACTACAGAAATTGCCGCGACGAACGCTTTGTGGTGTGTATGTGCCGTTAAATCCGCTATTATAAATCCTGTATAATAAACGTTGTTATATAAATTGTGTAACCGGGCCCGGTCTTGGCTACTGGACTAATATTACCACCTACTTCATCCGACGAACCATATGATGCAGCACAGAAGGTAAGCGCGTTTGAGACACGTTTATCTTATTTTTTTCGACTGTTACAATCAGCCCTTTTTTTACGTAATATTCCAATCATTCTATTACATTTTTTTGGTCCTTCGAGTACTTTAATAACAGTTAGAATTAAATTGTTGCATTATTATAACTGTGGGATTTTTTTTTGCGAAAAATTCGATTTAAAATTTTCTTTATTTTTTAAATTATCAAAAGCGCTATTCAAAATTATAGCATATCTGCTAAAATTAATCAGTTCTTACTAAAAAAAAAAAATCATTTAGTTTGCATACAATATTATTTCAATAAGTATTAAATTTATTGAGTTAATTGTAAAATTTATCAGGTAGACATATTGGTCATTTTTTTAGTCGAGTCGTGCTCAAGTTGTTCGACATCGGTAGTGTACACAGGTTCCAATCAATCGGCCTTCAAGTGGCCTTCATTTATTATTATTATCGCCTTTTCGCTAATTGTCGCTCTGTTTATCAATCACCGCTTTGTCGTTTACTCCGCTACCGTATATTTCGTTATTTTTTGAAATTTGTGAAAAATCGCCCGCCTTTTCGCCGTGTTTCGTATCGAGGTGAGCTTGATACCGCTGCCGCTACATTAATATTGCCTTTTGATCAGCTGATACAAATAAATTTGGTTTTAATTTTGTTTTGCTTGCGATTCGATTTATTTAATTTATTACAATGGTTGAAAAACTTGTTAAATATAAAACTTTAAGAACTTCTTGCTTAAATGAAATAAACGTAATTAGTATGCTCGCTGATAAAGCGAATAGTAATAAATCATTCAAAAATGTCTTTAAAGTAAGGTGCGCAGATATTGATAGTCTTAAAGAGGATTTTTTTAAACATCATAATAATGTTCTTGCCACATTGTTTGCTATCCCTGAAGATGCTGGGGGCGAAGATGCTACCAAAGAAATGTTTTTAGAAGAATTTTATAAGATTAAAGCATTATTTTCGGAATTATTTGAATCTGATACTCAACCAGTAAACGCTAATCAAAATACTGCTTTGCATAATTCTACACTTTTTCATATAGATCCAAATTCATCTCATATTCGTTTGCCGGTGATTGAATTAAAGAAATTTAGTGGCGATTATAGAAATTTTCGCTCATTTATAGACCATTTTAATAATTTAGTTCATGAAAAACCTCATTTATCTAATATTGAAAAATTCGATTATTTACTCTCTTGCTTGGATGGAAAACCATATTCTTTAGTTCGGCATTTGCCTTTAACTTCTAATAATTATCAATTAGCTTATGATACTTTACAAGAGAGGTATGCAAATCCACGAAAATGTGCACAAGCTCATTGGAATGAGATTGACAGCACGTCTAAAATTGAATCGAATAATCCGCACGCTTTAGAAAAATTACTTGATATTTTTAAAGAAAATATTGCCGCTCTAGAAATCTTAGGTTTTCCGGTTGAACATTGGGATTTCATTCTAGCCATGATGTTACTTAAACGACTTGATAATGAAACTAAACTACGTTTCGAACTTGAACATCGTTCTTGTCAGGTTCCTAGCTATAAAAGTCTTATTAAATTCTTAAACGAACAATATTTAGCTTATGATAATATTGATTCGGACTCGCCATCCAGTTCAAATATAAAAAATAAACCTAAGATTATCACACCACGTCCGCGTTCGTTTTTTACGAATACTGGCGCTAAATCGCCTAGTTCTAATTGTATTCTTTGCAAGGAAACTCATTCGCTTTATAAATGTCAGAATTTCGCTTCAAAGTCGCCCTCTGAAAGACATGCCTTCTGCAAATCTAACCATTTGTGCTATAATTGCTTGAGTAGTTCTCATGACCTGAGGTCTTGCAATAGTACTCAAGGTTGTAGATATTGTTTTTCAAAATCACATCATAGCTTGTTGCATTTTGATCGGCAAATATCTCAAAATCACCGCCCTTTGGACCGCTTGCCTCCTACTTCGTCTACGTCTCTGCCAAATTTCACCAGTACTAGTACTTTAGGAAATCAAATTCTTACCGCTCAAGGAGTAATAGAATCAAGTCGAATTTTATTAGCTACCGCCCTTATCGATGTTCTTGATAATCGAGGAATTTACCGCTCATATCGTTGCTTACTAGATTCAGGAAGTATGAGCTCGTTTATTTCCAAGCGAGCTGCTACTCGTCTAAATCTTGCCCAAACC